AAAAAAAAAAAGAAAAGTGGCTTGAGCCTCCCTGGCACCCCTCTGACCCTGACGTTCTCATTCCAGGCAGGTGGACACGAACACCAAAAACGTCTTTGGACAACCGAGGTTGAGGGCATCCCTCCGAGACCTCCGGTCGCCACGTAAGAACTACAAATCCACCATCGAGGATGACCTGAAGAAACTCATCATCATGGACAACCTGGGGCCAGAGCAGGAGAGAGACGCAGGAGTACGTAGCGCCCCATCCCCAGCTCCCGACCCCCAGCTTCCAGTGGGATCTCAGATCCGGGTGGACAGGGAGAAGGACTGTGCTCCCCACGGTCCCATCGTGCCCCCAGCTTTCAGCATCTGCCAGTCCTGTTGAGGGGTGTGGGCTCGTGGCTGGGAGTGAGGGCAGCGCATTAGTCTGGGATGGAATCACAGGATGAGCCCAGGCAGGCACACAGGAATCTACCCCATACCGAGAACCTCGTACAACTGGAGGGACCTGGGCCTCGTGCCCTCCTCCTCCAGCCCAGGATAGAAACAGCCACATCCGCCCAAACCACAGGGACTGAGTGGAGCAGGGGCTCCCAGGGGAAGTTCAGGCTCTTGTTACTCAGGGACGGGGGTGAAAAGAACAGTGGGTGCCAGGGAACCTCCATGGCACCTGCTTCCCTTCCCCTCCCAGCCAGGCCTGCCCTGCTCATCCTCACTGCCAGGCAGTAGCTGTTTTGTGGGAGCCGAGGTGGACCCCAGCCTCCCCAGGGTTGGGTCCCACCAGCCACAGCGGGGGGAAGAGAGCACATCAGCCCAGCACTACCCAATGGGGTCCCAGCACTGACTCTTGTGGGTCCAGCTTGCCTCCCACCACCTTCCCCAACCCGTCAGGCTTTGATCACCAGCCCTTACCCAGAGCTGGAGGGTGGGGTTGGGGAGCGGGAGTCCCCAGGGGGAAATGGGAGCGCTTTGGTCAGAAAGGAGGCAGAAGGCCGAGGTGGTGGCTCACACCTGTAATCCCAATACTTTGGGTGGCCAAGGTGAGAGGATCACTTGAGCCCAGGAGTTTTAAGACCAGCCTGGACAGTATAATGAGACCCCCATCTCTATAAAAAAAATCTAAAAATTAGCCAAGTGTGGTGGCACACACCTGTGGTCCCAGCTACTTACCTGGGAAGCTGAGATAGGAGGATCGCTGAAGCACAGGAGGTCGAGGTTGTAGTAAGCTGAGATCACCCCATTACACTCCAGCTTGGGTGACAGAGTGAGACCCTATATCTAAAAAAAAAAGAAAGAATCCCAGCACTTTGGGAGGCCGAGACGGGCGGATCGCGAGGTCAGGAGATCGAGACCATCCTGGCTAACATGGTGAAACCCCGTCTCTACTAAAAAATA